TCCTTCCTAGACTTGTCTAGGTGCTTTCCTTCCCAGGTGATTTCCTTTCCTCCCTAAAAGTACCCATTTCACCTTGTCCTGATCCACCTGCACACGGGCTTCGCAACTGTCCCAGACTGAGGTTGGCAAAACTAGGATACAAGCCCAATAATATCCGACTAATCTGTCCTATATACTTGCAACCCAGCAATTTCCATAATTAACCAAGTAGCTCAGAAATAGGCGGCGTCTTGCTTTTCCAGGTGTAAAACCAACCAGGGTTGATCTTAGGGGTATCATTCAGTTGACTGAGCGTTTGCCTTGTCTAGGTGGTGGATGGAAGCCCCAAGCAGTGGAAACCCAACAAAGGCCCAGAGTCAAAGTAGTAGCAGTGGAAGTTAGTCGATGCTAATTTTAGAAACACTATCCGTTTATTATCATGTAGCTTATTTGACTGAAAATAAAGCCTGGGGCAACCTGCACGCGACCTTGGCCGCACTGATTCCTGGGCAGGCCGAGATACGTCCGGAGCTGGGGACCCAGCCGACCTCCCTTTCCGGGAAGGTCCGCCCCTTTGAGAGAAACGTCGTGTGCCCTCTGGTGGCAGGGTGTGGTCTGGTCCCATCCTGGGCCTAGGGCTTGACTCTGAGCCATCTTTGAAGATTTCAGTTCTTGGCACAGGTACCTAAATTGTGTGAGGCTTTGTGCTGAGATCAGGAAACCCAGATCAAGATTTGGCATTTTCCACGAATCATTTGACGTCTCAATTTGGGAGATAACTGTGTAAGTATTGAGTTATAACAATGCAATTATAGCTAACACAGAAAGAGGCTTCACAAATAGGTAGAATAATGATCTGAATGCCAGGCATTGTTTGCATTATCTTCAATTTTGTGTGTGTGTGTGTGTGTGTGTGTGTGTGTTCCAGTACTGATGCTTGAATTCAGGGCCTCTCACCTTTGTTTGACTTTTGCACTCAAGGCTGGTACTCTACCACTTGAGCCACACCTCCACTTCTGGCTTTTTGCTAGTTAATAGGAGGTAAGAGTCTCACAGACTGTGTCTGCCCCAGCTGGCTCTGGACTCTAACTCTCAGATCTAGTAGCTAGGATTACAGGTGCAAGCTACCAGTGCCTGCTTTCCATTTCTTACTGGAGTCTGTCCAGTTGTCAAGATCTGCTCTGGCTCTACTTTCCAGATTCATCTTTTCACATTCCCTTGGTCAACTTCCAGCCCCATGTACCTGCTTCCTTGACCCAGTTTCTCATCTCCAAGCTATTGCCAATGCTATCTTTTCTGCCTGGATCTTTCTTTCTTTCTCAAGTTCCTTTACCTATTCTTCAGGTCTCAGCTTCTTAGTCATCCCTTCAGGAAACCTTCCCCTGGCCCTACTCAGCTGGTCTCCTGATCTTAGCAAAGTGTGGATGCTTAGTACACTGTGTAGTAACTGCTGACTTATCTGTCTTCCCTACTGGACTTTAGCACTGGGAAAGTGCAGATTATGTGTCCTGTTCATTGCACTGGGCACAGTGCCAAGCATGTAGTAGAAAGGACAGGGTGAAAAAAAAGAAGTGAGACCAGCAGGGAGTTATGTTCCAGAGATGTGAGTGAGGACCACCTGACATTTGCTAAGCTAGTGATTAGGAGGAGAGCCATGATGCTGGGGTGTTTTCAAATTGTAAGCAGTGAATAAGGGATTTTCTGTAAGCTCTCTGCCAACCAATAAATGGCAGCTATTACTGTTATCAAAATTAAAGCAACCTGGGCTGGGAAGGTGGCTCCGTGGTCGAGTGCTTGCCTTGCATATAGGAGGCCCTGGGTTCAATTCCTCGGCACCACATAAACAGAAAAAGCCAGAAGTGGCGCTGTGGCTCAAGTGGTAGAGTCCTAGTCTTGAGCTGAAGAGCTGAGGGACAGGGCTCAGACCTACAGATCAAGTCCCACCACAGACCAAAAATAAAAAATTAAAGCAACCAGAGCTAGGCAACAGTGGCTCATGTCTATAATCTTAACTCCTCAGGAGGCTAAGATCTGAGAATCAGAGTTTGAAGCCAACCCAGGCAGGAAAGTTTATAAGACTCTTTTTTCCAGTTAACCAGCAAAAAGCTGAAAGTGGAGCTGTGGTTCCAGTGGTAGAGTGCCAGCCTTGAGCAAAAAATGTTAAGTAACAACACCCTGAGTTCAAGCCCCAGTACCAACACAAAAACTCCAATTTCTAAATGTTCCACTGTAGGTGTCTCCTGGTGGTAGACTTGAGGAGATTCAGGATGAAGGACAGTATGTCAACACCAGCTTCCACTGCAGCAAAGGTAAAGAAGAACTGGAGGGGGGGGGCGGCAGGGCGAGTTCACACCAGCAATGGAATGCTTCAGCCCACAGTGAGCCACTTTCCCCGGCTCAGTCTCATTGAGCAGGAATGATCACACGGCCTTTTTCAAGCTATGGGGCCCAGGAAGTGCAATCCCACTGCCTGCTAGGCAAGGAAAGAATCACCTTGAGTGTTCTTTTAGTGGTGCAAGACTCAAAGACCCTTTCTGGAATGGGGCTTGGAGGTGCTATGGCCATGAGCCCAAGAAGTATGGCTTATAGACAATCCTTTTGTAGTGGGCCTTGCTGCATTTCAGGCAAGTAGGTGTCTTTCACAGAATGGTTGGGCTCATCCTGCAAATATCTCAGGGAATGTGTGTGTGCACATGTGCACGTGCAAGCAACAATTCATTGTAGCCTGTGGGCTGATCAGGGAGGTAATAAATTCCTCTTTGAAGCCAGGCGCTCGTGGTTCATGCCTGTAGTTCTAGCTACTCCTGAGGCTGAGATCTGAGAATTGTGGTTCAAAGCCAGCCCCGGCAGGAAAATCTGTGATTTTTTTTTGATTGGTCGTGGTCCTGAACTCTGGGCCTGGGTGCTGTCCCTCAGCTCTCCAGTTCAAGGCTAGTGCTCTACCACTTGAACCACAGTGCCACTTTTTTTGCTTTTTCTGCTTATGTGGTGCTGAGGAATCTAACCCAGGGCTTCATGCAAGGCAAGCACTCTACCACTGAGCCACCTTCCTAGCCCTATGTTACTCTTATCTCCAATTAACCACCAGGAAACCAGAAGTGGAGCTGTGGCTCAAAGTGGTAGAGCGCTAGCTCTGAGTGAAAGCACTCAGGGAGAATGCCGGAGAATCCCTACAACTGACAATAAAAAGAAAAAAAAACCCACTTTGACTTAAACTCTATAGAAGTGGCTTTGTCTTAAACACGACTGACTGGGGCTTTCATAACCTATATGTGGTATTACTCCCAAACAAGCAAATCCCAGATTCTGGAAAAGAAAATTTCTGGTCACTGGGTTCGGAGAGTTTAGCTGCTCTGTGTAGGACTGAGTTTTTCCTGGGGGAACCCAACATTCTGCCGACAATCATCTTAGGAGGTGGCAGGTTCTAGCACAGAAAAGAGGGGTGGGGTATAGAGAGGACGGATGTTGGGCCCAGGATAATGTCATGTTGGGTGCTGATGGAGTAGAGGGCAGACAATTGCCACAATGCCAAGACTGGAAGACACCAAGATAGATTTGGGGAGGAACTCCCAGAACAGCTTTGGTCAGTGGTAGCTCAGAACAGTTGAATCTGGTGTCTGCTTTTAGGCTTCTGCACAGTAATTTCCAACCATCAGTGGAATCTTGCCAAAGTCACAGACTTAGGAAGACTTTAGTGCACCACAGTTAAAGCCCAAGTGACCAAAGGGAGCCAATCTTACTGTAACTTCCCAGGGCTATGTGGACAACTTCAACATGACATTAGGGGGCTTTTCAAGGAACCCCTAAAATGCAAGCTGCACGGGGGGGGTCTTCATCTTAATGCATGGTTACCTAAGCTTATCACCTGAACATTCCTGAGGAGCTTCCAAGTGCTCTGGGGCTGGGAGCATGGTTCAAGTGGTAGAGCACCTGCCCAGCAAACTTAAGGCTCCAAATCAAACCCCAGTAAATAAGCTAGATACCAGTGGCTCAGGCCTGTAATCCTAGCTACTCAGGAAGCTGTTATCTGAGGATTGAAGTTTGAAATCAGTTTGGGCAGGAAAGTTCAAGAGACCTTTATCTCCAATTAACCAGCAAAAAGCTAGAAATAGAGTGATGGCTCAGGTGGTAGAGTGCCAGCCTTGAGTGAATAAAACTAAGGGACGGTGCCCAGACTGTGTTCAAGCCCTTAAACGAGCATTTGCACGCATGTGTGTGCACGCGCACACACACACACGCACACACACACAGAGTAAATAAGTATCAACATACAAAACTAGTGCTCCAGCAACTCCTGATCAGAGGCTGGGGGACAGACATAAAGAATGCTTAGGCCGCAGTATCAGTTACCTTCTCATCTCCTGGTGGTACCCAGGGTTGGTGGTAGGGAAATGGAGGCAGACAAGCAGGCTCTTCTTACCTGAAACTCAGTCCTGAGGGCTCTCTCATCACCCTAACACCTGACCTCTAGCCAGGACTATCTGTCCCTACAGCAAGTAGCTTTTTCTCTGGAGTTTGAACTGTGTCTGGGCACTGTCCCTGATCTTTTGCTCAAGGCTAGCAATCTACTACTTGAGCCACAGCTCTACTTTCGACTTTCTTAGCAGCTTTTTTTTTTTTTTTAGTGAAGACTCTCACAGACTTTCAAAAGCCCAGGCTGGCTTTGAACCACGATCCTCAGATCTCAGCCTCCTGAGTAGCTAAGATTACAGGTGTGAGCCACCAGCACCTGTACAAAATAGTTTCTCTCTCTTCTCTTCCCTGCACTACCCCTGTACCCACCTCCTTCTTCCCCTACCCCAATCCCACCAGGCCAGCACTGGATTCCTCCCAGGTCTCTCCCCTCATCTGAGCTTCTTGATCTCATTTCTGTGTCTATGACTAGCTTTAGACAGGAGCTGGCATTTCCACAGATCTTCACCCTCAAGCCTAGACCCTAGCACCTAGCTTTGTCTACCAAGGGGGCTGGCATCATCTATTCCAACGGAAAGGTTGGGGATGAGTAGAGGCCAATACAGTGGTACAAATTGGGAGCTATTTATTGGTAGCTGTGAGAAGCCCATATACAAAGAAGGCACAAGGGGGGGGGGATAGCCCCCCCTGCTACAGTACCATGGAGAGGTGGAGTTGTTAGGGAGTGGGCCTGCCAGTGAGCAGGGGTCAGGAGGTGTCTTGGGAACCAATCTCAACTGCTAGATGGGTCCTGGGGTACAGAAAGGGCAAGAGCCAGGTTGCTCTGAGAGTCAAGAACAGCCAAGGAGACTCTAGACTCCGACCCTAGTCAGTGGAAAGAGTAGGTTAGGCTGGCTGGGACAGGGGAGGGACTCCCTCCTGGTTCTACATTCAAGTTTTGTTCCCAGTGGGATCTCTCCAGGCCCGGCTGAGGCTGGGGTGGTGGTGGTCTGAATTAATGCTTTCTGCATCCGGCCAACATCTGCCTAGCCAGAACTAGCCTCTCTGGTCTCCTGAGGTGTCCTAGCACAGTGTGTCCAGGCTGCCCACAGTTTTTCTTTGTTCCTTTGGACTGCGTTCCCTGCCAGTCCAGTCGGAGCCAAGGAGAGAAGCTTCAGAAACCCATGAAAGAAAATGCTTTCTAGTTAGTGGCTCTTGGGTCTGAATTCAGTGCCTGTGAGCATGCTTCCCTCCCCCGCCCCTCCCCGCCCCCGACAGTCCTCTATGGGACCCAACTCTGTGGTGGGTGCCTGGGAGTTGCAGCTGGGCCAGGTCAGCAGCTACCGGTCAGTAGTTTTCCTCTGGACAGCAAAAGTCCAGTGACTATGGCTCAAGTTGGATCCAGTGTGGAAGGGGAGTTGTCACCACATCCGGGACATTTTCCTTCCAGCTCTGGCAGAGGTCCTTTGGCTTAGTTTTGGCACAGGCAGAGGCTGGGACATGGTACGCAAACACAGGCCATGAGCAGTGGGTCCCACGTGTGTCCAGGGTGCAGGGCTGCGGCGTGCTCAGCATTGTGAGGCCCTGAGGGAGGTACCCGCAGCCAGACAGCACAGGCCTGTGCCTGAAGAGGGGAGGGGCGCGTGTGCCTGAGCCTGCTGGTACCAGCCAAAGGCAGTGGCCCCGGTGGGCCATTGGAGGCATAAGTTATGATAAATAGGAAGAAAGGGCATGGAGGGGGAGGGGCGTGGTGAGGAAGGAGTAGGGAAAGATGGGGGAGAACATCAGTAGTATCGGTCCCGAGTCTGCCAGCTGGTCACCCAGTGCTTCTTGATGGGCAGGGTGCTCTCTGGAGGTGGGTAGCGCTCCTCCTCCCGGATGCGCACCGCATGGTACTTGGGCATGATCCGGTAGTAGCGGGTCCGCTGAAAGAAGTCACACTGGAGTGGGGGCAGAAGAGAAAGGGTGTGAGCATACAGCACTCAAGCAGAGGAAGGAGTGCCTGGCTTCTTCCCTGCCACGGTCCTCAGAGTCCAGGACCCTGACTCAAAAACACCTATCTTGATGTGAGATGGGGAGAAAGAACTTCAGCATCCCCATCCAGAGAAAGGAGGAGCTGAGGGAGGCAGAGAGGAGAGGAAGAAGCAAAAGGAGAGGCCAGGATGGGTACATGGTTTCCCTGACAAGTGAAAACAGGTTGATTGGTTGATTGAGGCACAGAGTAGGCAGGAAGAAAAGTGAGGTCTTCCTGGTCCCTTCTTTCTCTGGATAAAGGAATGGAGCTTAGACTCATTTGAGACATTCCTACAGAGGTATGCAGTGGGGGGGGTCACCCCTAGCCTTGACTATGACTCTTCTCCGGTCCCCAGGAAGTAGATGGGTCACAGAGAGGACTATGACACTCTTCTAAGAGTGCCCTAAGAGCCAGACAGGAGAGGTGTGTGTGTGTCACCCAGAGTGGGCTGTCCCCTGAGGTGGCACTGTGGACAGGTGAGAGGAGAGGAGCAGACAGCACAGAGTCAGAGGCCCCGGCCAGCTGGGATGCTCAGGGGGGAGGCCTGCAGGCTGCGTTACCCAGGTGGGCCGGGGTGGGGGCTGTCCCCCTCAGTAGTCGTCGGTCAGCCTCTCCGTCTCTGAAGGCTGGCTCTTCATCTCCGCCTTCTGCCTCTTGGCTTCATACAGGGCACGAGTGCGGGCTCGCTTGAAGAAACCGCACTGGAGGGGAGGAGGTGGGGAGGGCATCAGGGGTGTTTGGGGAGCAGTTCCTAGCCAGCAGCACTCAGGGGTTTGGGGCTTCAGGCTGGGGAGCCCGGGTAGCTGGGTGTGGGGTCCAGCATGGTGGGATGACCAGACACGTGTGCTCTTGAGTGTCCCTTTCCAGCTCATAGCTCCCTTCATTGTAACCCAGGAAGGGGGGAGACTGGAAGCTAGGGAGGAGGAAGGGAGGACCTGGGAGGAAGGGGCTGAAATGGACATGTGGAATGGGCTAGGGAGCTATGGGATGGAGGGGAGGATTGGTGAGCACGTGCTGGCAGGAGGTCGGGAGGGGTGGGCGGGGGCCCCAAGTGGCCTGGGGTCCTACCTTCCACAGCAAAAGGATGATCAGGCCCAGCAGCAGCAGCCCGGCGCCCACAGACACAAGAACAAGCCACAGTTCGATCTCAGCTGGCAGCTCCTCCACTAGGTCAGAGTCAATGTCCACGGAGAACTGAAGAGGGAGGAAAAGACTCAGACCTGTATCCTATCCTCTACCTGAGCTGGACCGGGGACCAGGAAGTTTTTGACCTATTGCCAGTAGGAGGCAGCCAGGAAATGGAAGAAGCTCTTGCTTGCTTCACACCTGCAGGTCCATTTGTGCTGCTTCTAAACACAGACCTGGCTCTCGAGCGGCATTAGATCTGATAGGCAGCCTGGGTTGATAAGCCACTTATCTGGGCTCCATCCCGGTTGTGTGAACTTCTCTGCTGTGTCTTAAGTTCAAGGTTACTAAAGTTATTCTCTTATTTTGGCTCATGCTAATTCTTACATTGAAATATTGTATCTAACTACAATATATTTTTGCTTATGGTCTGAAGTAAGTGTCTTTATTTCCCAAATGGATTCTTTCAATACTGCCTAGTTATATTTCTAAGCTGGGTATGGTGGGCCATGTGTGTAATCCTAGCATTCAAGAGGCAGAGGCAGGAAGATCCAGAGTTCAAAGACAGCCTGGATTACATCATGGAACCTGTCTCAGAAAAAAGAAAAAGAAAAAATTCTCTACTGAATAAAAGTGTGTTCTATCCAGGCTTGGTGGCTCATGCCTTTAATCTCAGCTACTCAGGAGGCAGAGGCAGGAGATTTGCAAGCAAAGACATCCATCAAAAGTATTGTGAGACCTTATCTCAAAATAAAATACAGGGACTGGGAAGGTGGCTCAGTGGTAGAGCGCTTGCCTTGCATGCATGAGGCTGGGTTCGATTCCTCAGCACCACATATGCAAAAAGGAAAAAGCTGGAAGTGGCGCTGTGTCTCAAGTGGTAGAGCACTAGCCTTGAGCTGAAGAGCTGAGGGACAGCACCCAGGCCCAGAGTTCAGGCCCCACGAGCGGACCCAAAACAAAAAAAATAATAATAAAAGAAAAGAAAAGAAAATACAACCCCGGGCACTGGTGGCTCACGCCCGTAATCCCAGCTACTCAGGAGGATGAGATCCGAGGATCATGCTTCAAAGCCCTCCTGGGCACGAGTCTATGAGACACTTATCTCCAATTAACCACCAGAAAACCGGAAGTAGTACTGTGGCTCAAGTGGTAGAGCGCTAACCTTGAGCTGAAGAGCTGAGGAACAGTGCCCAGACCCAAAGTTCAAGCCCCATGATCAACAAAAATAAATAAATAAATAAATAAATTAAAATAAAATACAAGCCAGGTGCCCACGGCTTGAACCTGTAATCCTAGCTACTCAGGAGGTTGAGATCTGAGGATCAAGGTTCAAAGCCGGCTGGGGCAGGAAAAGTCCATGAAACTCTTATCTCCAATTAACCACCAGAAAACTGGAAGTGGCTCTGTGGCTCAAGTGGTAAAGTGCTCTCCTTGAGCTGAAGAGCTCAGGGACAACACCCAGGCCATGAGTTCAAGCCCCACTACTGATCAAAATAATTAAAATAAATTAAAAATAAACACAAGATTGGACTCTTGTGGGTGATACCTATAACCTTAGCTATTTAGGAGGCTGAGATCTGAGGATTAAGGTTCAAAGCTAGCCATGGGAAGGAAAGTTTGTGAGTCTCAATTCTAGTTAACCACCAAAAAAAGGTTGAAGTGGAGTTGTGGCTCAAATGATAGAATCACTAGCTTTGAGTAACAACAACAACAACAAAAAGGGACAGTGCCCAGGCTCCAGGACTGGCACAAAATAAGTAAATAAGAATAAAATACTTTAAAAAGGGGGAGTGGCTAAGTGTATGGCTCAAGCAATACAGGTCCTAGATTTAATTCCCAGTATTGAAAAGAAAACAACAACAACAAAAAAAAACCCACCTAAATTCTTATTCTGACCCACTGATCTTTCTGTCTCGTCCTCCCCCCACCTCTTCTATGCTACATTATTTTAGGAAATATACATTGTATTTAACCAACCTTCCACTTATCTCTATATGTATCTCCTACATATTTCACTTACATTCTTCTCACAACACATTACTTTGTCATATTTATTCTCCCAGATGTAACTTTGAATCAAATTTGGAAGCTTTTTTTTTTCAAGCTTCCTGACTCCTACAGGGACTGGACTAATTTGGGAAATCTAGTAATTTGATAGTACTTGATAATACCCATTATTTGTCTGTCGTATACTAACTTTTACACCTATACTGGGGAGAGAGCTATAGATATTTTTCAAATATGTATATATGTATGTACATATGTGTATGCGTATATATGTGTATTTATATATGTATGTGTATATATATGTATATATAAATACATATATATATATATATATACACACATACACATATGTACATATTTTATTTTTCTGAAAGGTCTCCCTAGGTTGCCTAGCTTAGACTTCATTTGCAGGAAATCCTCCTGCCTCAGTATCCAAGTTCCCAGGATTACCAGTACCCACCAGTTCAGCCACCTTTAACTATATTTTTGATTGGCAGCACGAGGCCACCTACAGGCTTTGGTATTTTGATCTTGTTCTTTGAATTGCAGGACATCCTGAATTCTCACTGAGCCCTTTTCATTTCTGCCTCATGGCAGTCACAGCACCTACATCAATAATCAGTGGTCTCTCCTTGGCCTCATTACCCCACTGCTGTGACCAGACGCTCACGTGTTCACAGTGGATGTTGACAGTGGGTGAAGTGGTCAGGAGGTCAAGGTGCCAGCCTGGACTTAGGCAGAGCTTGTCAGCTATGCTACAGGTCATTCAGTTCCTTAGGGCTTCAGTTTCCTTTGCTATAAAATAGACATATAATCCAAGGCAGTTGTTCTCTACCCTGGCTAGCTGGCAGAGTCACCAAAGAGTCCTTTTGAACATCCTAGCACTGTGCCCACAATCCAGAGGTCTTATTTAGTCATTCTAGGGTGTTGCTTGACATTAGAATGCTTCTAACTTGTTGGCAAGATTGAGTGAGATTCATAGCTCAAGTGTGTCTGTGACCTGGCTGAGGCCCACTGCCCTCATTCACATGCTTACTCACCCACGTGGTCTTGTTCTCCATGTTGATAGTGGGGACGTGGGTTCGCAGGAACAGAGTAGCCCAGCCATCTACCCTGACTCGATCAAAATCTCTATAATCCTGGAAGCAGGGAAGGGAGGTCAAAAGGAGCAACTAAAGCCCCTCCAAACCACCCTCTTGATCCTACTCCCTCTCCGGTCACCCTCTCCTACTAGGCATCATCTTTAGGCAACAGCTCCTAAAAATCTGTCAGCCAGGCGCTTCCTCCACACAAAAATGCTTTTCACTCATTCATGTGTGCATCAGGTCCTGTGCTGGATGCTGAGGACATCAGAAATACTGAAGGGCATGGTTCAAACCCATAAGCCAAATCTAGCCCAGGTTTTGGTATACGGCCTTGCTCATTCATTTATCTTTGGCATCTTTTGGAAGAAAGTAGGTACAATAGAAACCACATATCCCAGAAAGCTGAAAAGATTGATGATCTAAGTCACAGCAAAGGTTTGCTGTACATGGCAAGAAAAGGCTAGCATGTGAGGAACCCCAAACTCAAGAGTCAAGTATGACAGGTGGTAGGTGCAGTTCCTTAGAAAGTTCTAGGGTATCCAGGGAGAAAGAATTCAGTTCAGTAGTAAAGTTGGAAAGTTGATGGAGACCTCAAAAGCTGAAGAGGAGTTTACACACAGAGACAAAGCAGAAGCTGGACTTCTAGGGGGAAGAAGGAATAGGGGTGAATATATGGAGATGGAAAAAGTAATGTGCACAGGGCAGCGTAACAGAACATGGGAAGAGGTCATCTTGAAAACATTACATAACCATATGCAGACATGCAACTGTAACACTGACAGAACCTATACTAATGGACATACAACTGTGCAGAACATGATGCTATCACTCACACACACACACACACACACATACAACATGCACGCACGCGCACCCTGGCTTCACTCCCTCCCTTTTGCTCTCTTCACCCAGGTGGGTGGCACAGTGGAGACCTCCAGACCCAGTGCTGACCTCGATGAAGGTGCTGTTCCACACCCGGGCCTTCACAGTCACATTGGTGATGGTGGGGGAATCAGGAATGAGGCACTCCAGCCACACACAGCGGGCACGGCCAGTGGCACAGGTCTGAAGTGGGCAGGGAACACAAGGCATGAGATGATCTGGCTCCTCATGCTTCCTTCCTTACCTCTCACTCACCTAGTCTTTGTCCCATCCCTGTGCAACTGAGGCAAGCTAACTTTATTTCTTCACAAACCCATATTCCTCATGTCACACATATATATTTACGATAGATTTTTTTTGTTGGTCATGGGGCTTGAACTCTGGGCCTGGGCGCTGTCCCAGAGCTCTTTAGCTCAAGGGGAGTGGTTTACCACTTGAGCCACAGCACCACTTCTGGTTTTCTGGTGGTTAATTGGAGATAAGAGTCTCAGGGACTTTCCTGCCCAGGCTGGCTTTGAACCTTGATCCTCAGATCTCAGCCTCCTGAGTAGCTAGGATTACAGGTGTGAGCCACCAGCACCCAGCTAAATTTTTTTTAACACCAAGCTCATCTGATGCCAAGAACTTGATGACATAAGACCTAATTCCTAGCCAGGCACTGGTGGCTCAGGCATACAATCCTACCTACTCAGGAACCTGAGATCGGAGGATTATGATCATAGCCAGCCTAAGCAGGAAAGGCTGTGCATCTCTGATTTCCAAGTAACCACCAAAAAGCTGAAAGTGGAGCTGTGGCTCAAAGTGGTCGAGTACTAGTCTTGAGCACTAAAGCTCACAGACAGCACCCAGTTCCTGAGTTCAAGTCCCAGGACAGTTATAAAAAAACAAACATCTAATTCCTGGTCATGTAAATAAAGTCCAACTACAGAACCTCCTCCTCACCCTCTCAACCACTGAGCCTTTGGTGGTGTCTGGCTCCTGCTATTGGGACATCAACTCAGACTTCACCCAGCTATGCCTATACTGACTCCTCAGGCCTGTTCCTTTCCCTGTTACAGAGGGTACCATGCCCCCACATTTCCTCCTGAACCCTCCTCACTCCCTTATGTCTAGTGTCCAAAGCTTTGAACAGCCTCCAATAGACTGGGACTCATTGGAATAGAGCCAAATGGCTCCTCCTTTGGTCTACTGTATTGGATGCTTCCCTGTCAGAGGAGGGTATCCCCAGCCCAAGATATGAGTCTCTCCCTCTGTCTAGAAACTCCTGAGGGCTGGGTCCACATCACCTTTCAAACCAGAGTTTCATAGTAAGTGGGCAATACCTCCCATGCCCATGGTGCCCATGCCTTCGATGGGCTATACCTATCCCTTCCCTGTCCACTCACCAGCACAGTCTCAGATTTGGCTTTTTTGGCAGCAGCCAGAGTAATAGGTGGTGGGCCCTGTCCACCCTCTGGGTCCAGCTGTCGACGCCTGCGTTGTGGAGATGGTGGTCTGTCCTTGGGATCCTGAACAAGGAAGGTAGAAGTGGGAGCAAGAAAAAGGGACAGGAAAAGCAAGGGTCCCCAAAGGAGACTTTGAAGAAGACACCAGCTTTCTGCTCAGAAGCAGGCAAATGAGATATGATGTAAATGATATGCAAATGAGAGATATCCCTGCTGGTGAACTTACAGACAGAGTGAGGTTCAGAGGGTTGACAAGGTCTCCAGGTGGAAGGCAGGGCCAGGATCCATTGCCATGGATGGTGATCTCCGTTGGGTACAGTAGCCACTTGCCATTGGCGACTTCATAGGGCCACTCCAGAGCTAGAACCAGGGTGCCCAGGGCCGCCAGGCCCTCCCCTACTGGGCTTACCTGTGGATACAAAAGGTGTCATGATTACTATCTCTTAGAGAACCACCTCCAACTCACCAGCTCCCAACCCTCCTACCCTGTGTGAGAAAGTGTCTTTTCTTTTCTGCCGGTCTTGGGTCCTGAACTCTGGGCTTGGGCTCTGTCTTTGAGCTCTTCAGCTCAAGGCTAGCACTCTACCACTTGAGCCACAGTGCCACTTCCAACTTTTTCTGCTTATGTGTTGCTGAGGAATCAAACCCAGGGCCTCATGCATGCGAGGCAAGCACTCTACCGCTGAGCCACCTTCCTAGCCCCAGAAAGTGTCTTTTCTATCAAAGTAATCTGCTTCCTCTCTATTAATCTTAGGATAATTTGTTTTGATGAATAGTCTCTGCTTCCACCAAGTGGCTTGGCCCTTGTTAATTACATTTTAGTTACATCCTTTTCCTGCTGCACTTTAACTATGACATCCTGTTAAAAGCTCATTAAGCCCTGTGCCAGTGGCTCATGCCTATAATCCTAGCTATTCAGGAGGTTGACACCTGAGGATCGCAGCTCAAAGCCAGCCAAGGCAGAAAAGGCAGTGAGACTCTTAGCTCCAATTAACCACCAGAAAACCAGAAGTGGTACTGTGGCTCAAAGTGATAGAGCACTAGCCTTGAGCAAAAGAGCTCAAGGATAACACCCAGGCAGAGTTCAAGCCCCATGGCTGACAATAAATAAATAGCTTCTTAAACTTTAATTACATCCTGTTAATTAAGTCAGATATTTTTGCAGATTGTGAACCCAGTTCAGCTAATGTGAGCAGAGGGGCAGGGCCTGCCTGCTTTGTGTGCTTGTCAGATTTTTGGCTGATGATGCACTCTTCTGCAGAAGTAAACTTTGCCTTACTAAGTTCCTTTTGACTTGGTGTCCTTCCTGATTCCTATGTGACATCCCAACATCCCGAATCATTTCTAACACCTGGACCTCAGCACCAGAACAACCCCCACCCCCACACCCATCATCTTTTCCGCAAGTACCAGCCAGGACCCCTGAGATATGCTTACCTGGAACTCATATTTGAGGGGACTTCCCACATCTTCTACGGTCTTCATGCCAGACTCACCCATTACAGACCCACCAAAAAAGCTCTGTAGCCGGTGATTCACCCTAGGGGTAAGAAAGATAAGTCATGGAAGGCAGAGCTTTGGTAGAGGGAAAGGTACCAAAGCTGGTTAACAACAGCACTTTGAAGTCAGGTGGACCTGGGTATAAACCCAGCTCTTCCATTTACCAGCAAAGTGGCCTCAAGCAAATTATCCTCAGTTTCCTTGTCTAAAAAGTGGAGTTAGTAATAACTGGTATGACATAGGGCAGCTGTGAGAAGTCAGTGAGATATGTGTAAAATTCTTTGTACAATGAGTTGTTTTTGTTTTGTTTGGGGCACAGATCCTGGGGCTTGAACTCACACCAGCACCTGGATGCACAAGTTTGTTTGTGTCAGTCCTGGGGCTTGAATGCTGGGCCAGGGCACTGTCCTCGAGCTTTTTTGCTCAAGCACTCTACCACTTGAGCCACAGTTCCATTTCTGACATATTTTGTTAATTAATTGAAGATAAGAGTCTCAGAACTGGGCTGGGAAAGTGGCTCAGTGGTAGAGTGCTTGCCTTGCATGCCTGAGGCCCTGGGTTCGATTCCTCAGCACCACACATGCAAAAAGAAAAAAAAGCCGGAAGTGGTGCTGTGGCTCAAGTGGTAGAGCACTAGCCTTGAGCTGAAGAGCTGAGGGACAGTGCCCAGGCCCTGAGTTCAGGCCCCATGACCGGACCCCCCCCCAAAAAAAAAGTCTCAGAACTTTTCTGCCAGGGCTGGCTTTGAACCCTAATCCTCAGATCTCAGCCTCCCAAGTAGCAAGATAGTAGCATTACAGGCATGAGCCACTGGTGCCTGGCTCACTGAGTTTTTAAGAAATATCTTGGACCAACAGCTCCTCCCTTTCTGACTGTTATTATTAAGGGAAGGGTGACCTGTAACCGTCAGGCCAAGAGGAGTGTCAGAGGAACTTAGGAGCTACCTTGGGGACAGCGAGGCCCTGGCTCAGGCAGGCTAGGGTGGGTTGGGTGGAGAGCAGAGAAGTTACCCACATGCTGAGTGATGCCTGGAGTGTGTAGTCCACCAGCAAGGTCAGATTCATGGGCCGAAGGTTGTCTTGGTGACTTGACCTGAGGAGGGAATACAAGGGGTAGAAAGGAGACCTAGAATATGATCTCAACCACAACCATACTGGCTTCACCAGGTCACTCACGTGGACAGCTGCAGCTGCACCTGAAGGTCCCTGGTGTTCAAGGTCACCCCGATGACCTCAAAGGCAATGAGCAGTTCCATCTATCCCAAGAGTCAGAGAGAAGGGCATTGGTGGCCTGGTAAGATGATAGCTCAGGGAAGAGAAGAGCCAAACATCATGCCAGGGAGATGGCTAGCTGGCCTCCTCTTCCTCCCATTCTAGGTGACCAGTTCTACCTCTTCAACTCATCCTCACCTCTTTTTCCACCCTTTTCACCTCCAGATGACATTCCTGCTACTTTTACTACTGCAACTTTCTAAACCCATATTTCTTGTGTAAAACAACAGTAACCTCCTTAGAAAGGTTGTAAGAATTACATCACATAAAGAAGCTGTGTTAGGCTCAGGAAAACTTAGTTTCTTCACCTCCACCTGCCCTGGCGTCACGCATAGTTCCTCAACAGCTCCATTTTCCTATCCCTAAGCTTATTCCCATCCACCCATCCTTGAACTTCCTCTCCTCTACTCTAGTTCTCTCTCTCTCTCTCTCTCTCTCTTTCAGTTGGTCATGAGGCTTGAACACTGGGCCTGGTCACTTTCCCTGAGCTCTTTAGCTCAAGGCGAGCACTCTAGACCAGTTGAGCCATAGTGCCAATTAACCACAAGGTGGTTAATTGGAGACAAGAGTCTCATGGACATTCCTGCCTGAGCTGGCTTTGAACCTCGAGCCTCAGATCTCTGCCTCCTGAGTAGCTAGGAGTACAGGCATGAGCCACTGGTGCCCGGCTTCATTCTAGTTCTTTACTTTCAAGGAAGTGGAGGCAGATAGGAGAGGATTAACAGAGGAACAGCTTAGGACCCCCCCCTCCACCAAAGTGGGAGTATATAGCCAAGAGCTCACCCTCTGGTTCCTTTTGAAGGGGTTTCCCAGCTCACACAGGATGGTCTCATTCGCTTGGCAAGTTCCAGACTGAGGAGAAACGAAACTAAGGTCAGGTTTGGGCTTATACCCTGCTGTTCTGGAGCAGGGTCAGAAGCCCTGAGGGACCAGCCCCCAAGCATCAAGGACAAAGCAGGACACAGAAAGAGGCCCAGCCCAGAGGAGGCAAGCTCATAGCATCATGCATATTGCAATGCAAAAATGTGGGAAGCCCTGAATGGGGCTGAGCCTGGCCAGCAGGCACTCACAGGGCGCACTGAGGACAGGAGCAGGGCAGGAGGCACTTCCAGGGTGAGCAGCGCCTCGTGGGCATCCTCCCCAGCCCGCTCTGGGCTGGGGGTATTGGTCACATTGATGCTCAAGAGCAGTTTCCGGACATCCCTGCTGTACTGGAGCCTGAAGAGGGTTGGGGGGAGCCCAGGACTAAGTCAAAAGCCCCACCTCCAAGGCACAATTCAGATCCACCTGGCCACACCCTTTGGGGTGAGCAAAGTCCCCTTCTGCATGTGGCCTGACTGGCTCTCCAGTTTTCGCTGGAGGATGCTTTCCTCCCCAGCCCATTACAGTCTTCCCATTCAGACTGGGCCAATGTGGCCTTGTCTACAATCATGCTAGCCAATGGATTCCTGCCTCACCCCAGACCAGTCAGCACCTCTGAGCCCACCTGCTCAGCCGCTGCAGCTGCTCTGACACAAAGGCAGCCTGCATCTGCAGATTGCTGTCGCACTTGTTGTCTGGCCCACACTCCTTCTGGAACTGAACCTGGAGGCAGTCAGTCAGAGACATGAGGGGCTTCCACCGCAACAACATCCCCAAGTCCCAGAGCCCTCCCAGCATGGCCCCTGCCCCACCCACCTCAGTGTGGTTCTCCAGAGCCTGGGCTTGGTTGAGGACTGGGTAAGCATCCAGGGACCGCAGCCCCAGGCGTGGGCGCTCTGGCATCCGCAGAGGTAGAGAGTAGTTCAGAGAAATAACAATGGGCCGGAGTTTGTCACGGAAGTTGTCCTGAAAAGGGAAAGGTGGGGGAAGTGAACCCAGTCTTGCCATCCCCCAGGAAGTTATCTTCATGCTATCCTAAGCCTCAGACTGAGCCCCAGGAGAACCTGGGCCTGTCTCCACCCTGAAACCCCAGTGAAGCTGTACCCCCATTTGTCCTGCTATTAAATCAAAACATCTACCGTTTTGACTCCTCACCATTAGAGGAGGTCCCCCTTCATCTATGGGGTCTCCACATCCAGCCTTCCTCTTCCACCAAATCCCGAAGGAGGGGCTGAGCTTGCCCACAATCAGGGGGGACTCCTTTCCCCATCCCCATGGTGAACTGAGCCTCCAGCTTCCACACTCCTCCAATTTCTCCCAGTGGCAAGGCCCCTGGGCTTTATCTTCACCTCTTCCCTACACAACCACGCGTATTCCATATCCATCAGCCCTTTGGAATTCCAGGCTGACTTTCCCAACTTCCAATGTAGGGGGACCCTCCTATTCCTTCAACTTTGACCTAGAGGACACCGATCCCCTTTCCTGGAGCTCCCACCCTGCCCTGTGTCCCTCCCTCACCATCAGAAGCAAATCCAAAGTCTGGCAGCGCATCTCTGGCATGGAGAAGAAGCCATGAAAGATGGCGGACTGGCTTTGAGCAAACCGGAGCCGTGGTGGGCGGCGATCACGGTCAGCCTCCAGGGTGTAGGCCAGGGCTGCAGGTAGACAAGGAGGTCAGCAAATGGTCAGGGGAGCACGCTCCCCCTTGCCCTGAGCCCAGCACTCACTGATGTTTCTCCTGTAGTTGGGGTTCCCAGCACTCTGGTTGTAGGCAAAGCACAGTTCAACCTGCACACTGGGGTAGGGGTGGGAGGGAGTGTACAGGAGAGCCTGGTTACAGTGAGACACAGAGCCAGGCCTCACCTCTCATCTCTGTTCTAGGCAAAGGAAACTCTCCAGGGAAAGGCAGGGGCAAAATTAGGGCACCCACAAATCTATCTTTGGTGTCCCTGGCTCCATCCTTCCCACTATACATAGAGAGGTGATGGCAAAGGTCACCACTGGGAAAACGGAGTTCCAGAAGGCAGGAATGACGTCATCATTCAGTTGATGGCCAGCCCTTGAATCTAAGCCTCAGGCTCTTCAATCCCAACCTCCACAGCCATTCCATTCTCCAGCCTCCCTGTCTGCCTCCTTCCTATGTCATTCACATAGGCCCTAGGGTTCTGCAGATCATCACATTCTAAGCAGCTAGATTTTTTTTTGAGCACTTAAGGCTTATCAAAGCAGTATGCAAAGAACTGTTTATATGTTGTCTCATTTAATTATACCAAATTATTACCTTTTTTACAGGTGAGGAATCCTGAGGTTAAATAATTTGCCCAAGATGAGTATCCCTTCTTTCCCACATCCCTCCATCCGCCTCCTCCTTCCTTCGGGACTTCAGTCCTCAGAGCCCACCCTTCCCACTGGGAATGCACAGCTGGGGTTTGAACTAGGTGGTGAAGGGCTCCTATTCCTAACCACTAGGGTCTACTGCTCCAAGATCCCTATATCTGGTAAAGAGCTCTTGCACCATAATTCCAATTCTGGCTTTTTGGTGGTTAATTGTAGATAAGAGTCTCACACTTTTCAACTGCAGTCTTCAGGTCTCATCCTCCTGAACAGACAGGATTTCAGGTGTGAGCCACCAGCACCTGGCAGGAATTTTGCTTTTAAATAAGGTTGGGTGGGGGGAAATGCCAGTGGCTCACACCTACAATCCCAGTTACTCAGAAGGCCAAGATCTGAGGGTCAGAGTTCAAAGCCAGCTGGGGCAGGCAGGTCCATGAGACTCTTTTGTTTGGGTTGTTTTTTTCTTTTTTAAACTGTATTTTTTTTGTCTTTTCTTTTTTGGTACTGGGGATCGAACCCAGGACGTTGCGCTTGCTAGGCAAGCGCTTTGCCACTGAGCTACATCCCAGCCCAAAGGGTTGGTTTTTTTTTTGTTTGGGTTTTCATGAGACTCTTATCTTCAATCAAATACTCAGAAAAAGCCAGAAGTGGCACTGTGGCTCAAGTGATAGAATGCTAGCCTGGAGCACAAAGGGGCTCAAGGACAGCACCCAGGCCCTGAGTTCAAGGCCCAGTACTGGACAAAATAATAATAATAAGGTTGGGTAAGGAGGGGTAATGCTGGCTCTGAGAGCCAATATTTAAAGATGGGAGAAGGGTTTGGGACCTGGGCATCTCAAAGCCTACCCATACATGAGAAGTAGGGGCTGATAGTCTCAGAGCAAGGGCTGATAGTCTCACCAGGAGGTGGCTGTGCAAAGTGTGGGGTCCAGCACAGCTGGCCTGGCCACCAAGGTCTTGTGGACAATGTTGATGACAGGCCGAGCCCTGCAGAGACAATAAAAGCAAGCAGGTATCAATGCCTCCCCTGGCCAGAGCTGAAGCTTGGACTTCCAGGATGTCAAAGAAGTAGGAGTTGGAGGGGAGAATGGACTCAGGCTCACCGCAGCAGCACAATGTGGTCTGACAGACTGCCGACTAGTAGGTCTGGGTAAAAGTTCTCATCCACATCCATGTGTCCACTCAGAGAGTAGCCGAAGGTGGACAAGCCAGACAGTCCCAGTTTTTCTCCATGGATTACCTGGGAGATGAGAGAAATGGGGAGGACAGGGTCTGGCTGATGGGGCTGAGGGAGGAACAGGGAAGAAGTAGATGAAAGGGAGGGGGACAGTCCACTAGTGGAGGGGGCAGTAGTCACATCTGCCCATCCATACCTGCTGGGGCTGTCTGAGGAGCCCCCCGGAGCTGCTATGGTAGATATAAACTTTGCCCAAGCCCTCAAATGGGGCTCCCACAGCAATATCTGGAAAAGAGAGGCAAGGACAAGGTTACCGAGGTATTCTGGACCCCACATCTCCCTGACCATGTCCTACAGGCCATAGGTTCCAGTGTGTCACTGACTTGACCCAGCTGAAAGTGCTCAGAGAGGCAGGAAAGCTGCAGAACTTCCAGGTAGGAAGGTAGAGTCAGGAGAAGGGAAGTAACTTACCCAAAATCTCACACTAAAACAGGCAAGAGTTACACCCCTTTCTCTCTCTCACCCTAACTTCCTTTCCAGACATCTGGTTCTTCTAAATGGCATCTACCAGAAGAGTGTTGTAAAAGAGGTATTCCTAAAGCCAGCACTGGTGGCTCATGCCTATAATACTAGATATTCAGGAGGTTGAGGATCCAGGTTCAAAGTCATCCTGGGCAGTAAAGTCTGTGAGACTCATGGGGCTTGAACTCTGGGCCTGGGCACTGTCCCTCAGCTCTTTAGCTCAAAGCAAACACTCTACCACTTGAGCCACAGCGCCACTTCCAGTTTTCTGATAGTTAACTGGAGAGAAGAGTCTAACAGACTTTCCTGCCCAGGCTGGCTTTGAACTACCATCCTCAGATCTCAGCCTCCTGAGTAGCTAGGATTACAGGCATGAGCCACCAGCGCCTGGCTTCCATGAGATTCTTCTCTCCAATGAACCACCAGAAAACCAGAAGTGGTGCTGTGGCTCAAAGTGGTAGAGTGCTAGCCTTGAGCAAAAGAGCTCAAGGACAGCAATTAGCCCCTGAGTTCAAGCCCCATGATTGACCTAAATAAATAAATAAATAAGATGTGTTCCTAATTGGTGACAGCCAGTGGGGACAGGATGTGTCTAATCCTCACAAGAGTTGCTGTAGGTTAGTTATTACTATCCCCACTTCACAGGTGAGAAAGCAGACACAAAACCCAGTTACACAACTAATGAGGACAGAATGCTTGAGCTTCTGCCTAAATACCAAGGACTAGGAGACATTTTATAATCTTCTTAAACTTTACAAGACTCTTTGTCATTTGCAACGTTTGGCCTATTAAGGCCTGAGTAACCAGAAGGCCAAGCTTGTTAGTACAGGAGGCCAAGGAAAACTATGTAGCTATCAATCACCCTTCTATAGGAAGTGCTGGGCTTTGTTGGCTGGACTCTCTGGTTCCTCTGCCTTCCCTTAGGTTCCCAGCTATATCCTGGGAATTTTTCAGAGAAGTGACATTGGGATAATCTAGTTGTTCCTATGGCAACCAGGTTCACACCCAAATCTGTCCTTATTAACCCCCATCCACCCCAGGACTGACTAGTCCCCTGTCTGCAAAAGCACTGGAGATGATGCCTACTCTAGGGCTCCCACCTTGTTCTAGCCCTTATTTACACCCCACACCTAAAAGAATACACTCTTGATATTTACTCTTCCACCAGCCCTAAAACCTCCCCCTTCCATCCCATAACTCTTCCAGAATCATCTTTCCAGATATCAGATATTGTACCCCTTCTCTAAAACTTGCTATGGATGCCCCTAGCTCATTCCTGTCCTCACCATTATCCAAAGAGATTTTGGTGTGTGTGTGTGTGTGTGTGTGTGTGTGTGTGTGTGTGCCAGGCTGGGGCTCGAACTCTGGTATGCAGCTGGCACTCGGTGAGGGTGCTGAGGGAGAGGTGCTAGCTCATACCCTGGAATCCATCCTGGTTGATGTCACCAATGCTGGCCACAGAGAAGCCGAAGGTGGAGCGACTCGGGCCATGAAGAAGGAGGGATGGATGGGTGGGGAAGGAGGTTCCTGCCTGGTTCATGAAGACATAGACGGCACCTCCTACCTCTTCCTTCCGCTCAAAGTAGTAGGGAGCACCCACCAAGAGGTCCTGCCACCTGCAGAGGAGAGGAGGAGGAGGGAGGCTGACCTCCAATAGACAGCACAACTGTTCCTTAACAAGCAATGATTGGCCAGAGTACACAGCTACACAAAAGGCATGGGAGGGTCATCAAGACCCACCGAATAGAAAATGCATGTCACGGAGAAATCAAGAAGCACACTCACACAGCCTACATCCACTGAAGCCAAGCAAATGACAGGGGCAGACAAGCAAGTGCAGGTGTCATGCAAATAACATGCAAATGCCCAGGTTCCAGGAAGGTCTGATTGCAAAACCCTGCAAAGAGCAAATGCACACTTGCCAAGCTTCCATTTTCTCATCTGGCTTGGACAAGGCTGCCCACTTCCCCTCCTCTCCCCACTCCCTGGCCCCAGAGAATGTCCCAGGTCTCTAGATTCTCACCCATCGTTGTTCAGGTCTGCCAGGGCAATGGCGCTACCAAAATAAGCGCCCACCTGTGTGCCTTCCAGCACCTGCCTCCTCCGCAGGTCTCCACCTGTCTCCCGGCTCAGCAAGAAGACGGCGCCCATATGTCGGTGCCGTGGGGCGCCTGTCACAATAGTGATGTCCATGGGGTGCAGGACGTTGCTGCCTACCTGCATTGTGTAACCTGGGATAAGGTGAAGAAGGAAGACATTCTATCAAGTCCCCAATAATCTCTCTCCCTTTTTACACTGGGCCAATCCTCTAGTTACCACCCTATATTATCTATTCTATTCCAAGTTGAGCAAAAAGAGTACCGCTCCCCTCTACCCCTAGCCACGTGTGACAGTACACACCTATAATCCCACCACTTGAGAGGCTGGGCAGGAGGATATAGAGGTTGAGGACAACCTGAAGCTGTACAACCAGTTCCAGGCCAGCTGAAGCTACCTAAGGGAACCTTAGTCTCAAAAGACTGGGTGCAGGGCTCAAGCCAGTAGTCCTAGCTAGTTGGATGGTACAAACAGAGTGGTTTAAAGTCAGGCTGAGCAAAAGTACACAGGACTCCATCACAACCAACGGCTGGGCATGGAGGTGCTTGTCTGTCATCTTCCCCAATATGGGTTTACTTGTGTAAGGGGATCACAGCCAAGAATGGCCCAGGCATGAGGTGAGACTCTACCTCAAAAACAATCAATAAAGCCAGATGTTAGTGGCTCAACGCCTATAATCCTAGCTACTCAGGAGACTGAGATCTGAGGATCAAGGTTTAAGGCCAGCCTGGGCAGGCAAATTGGAAAGACTTTTATCTCCAAATAACCAGCAAAAATCTGGACGTGGAGGTGTATGACTCATGTGGTGGAGGGAAATGAAAGCGTAAGGCCCTTAGTTCAACCCCTAGTATGAGCACACACATACAAACATAATCAAAAAGGGGAGATGTGGTTCAGCGGTAAAGTGTATGCTCAGCAAATACAAGGCTCTCAGTTCAAGCTCCAATACTAGAAGAAGAAAAAAAAGCCCAGTGGCTACACCCCATCCCATCTGCAGTCCTGCCTGCCCCTTGGATTATTAACTGCCTGAGGGCAGTAACTCTGTGGCTAGAGCTTGAACAGAACCAGGTGTACAGGCAGAGTACATGCGTGTGTGTTAGTTGACCTAAAGGCTACTAGTCATACCTGCAACTAAAGCCTCACTCTGTGCATGAAGGCAGGAACGTCAGCATTTTAGGGACCCATCCAGCTTCCCCCCTGCCCATCACCAATAGGCCACCAGAATGGGACTCACCGATATACAGATTTCCTTGGTCCTCTGGGTCCTTGTAGCTATACTCAAACAAATCCCAGTCCTTCCTCTGAATCATGTAGCTACTTCCTACACATATTGGGTGAGGGACAGGGAAAGTATCAGTCACCATTTTTTTCCTCCATCATGCCCATTCCCCACCTAATAATAATTAGCCCCTTTTATTTGTGAACAGTGTGCCATTTGTCAATCACTTCCTCCTTAACAATTCTGTGAGGTAGAAAGAAGAGAAAAGTACAACTCCAAGGAACATGAACTTGCTCGTAGTCTTCTGAGAATAGTTGTAGAACATGGCTGGCATCCTGCCTTCTGGTTTCCTGGGTTTTAGTCCATGCTTGGCCACACTTCATACCATTTGCTCCTGGGTCCTGTTCCCCAAAGTCAGGCTGCCTAACCCCTGTACCCAAAGCTGCTGCTAAAGGAAACCAGGATCCCTACCAAGCTGTCGAAGGACCAGGGAAGTGGAGAGCAAAGCCATGGAGTGGAGGGTGGGGGACAGGACAGGGCCTCAGCCTTCCATTAGTCCAGAGTTGTTACTATATCAGACTTCCTATTGGTCAAGAGGACACTGAAGGCTCTCCACCTGTTGGTTCTATGACTATAAGGGCTCAGGAAGGGAGAGAGATCGCTATTGCTACAACCTATATGATGGAGAGGGGCCAGGAGATGGAGGGAGCATGAGTCATCAGATTCCAGGGTGATGGGTCACGTAATAGTTGAAAGTATGGATCCTGCTAGGCACCAGCACGTCACTCCTGTAATCCTATCCACATAGGTTGAGCTCAGGGGATCATGGTTCAAAGCTAGCCAGGACAGAAAAGATTCTTATTTCCAATTAATTAGCCAAAAGTAAGGGCCAGAAGAATGGCATAAGTGGGATAGCACCAGTGATAAGCAAGTGGAGCAAGAGTGTGAAGACCTGGGTTTAAGCCTCAGTATCAATGTGTGCATACACGCATGCACAAGTATGCACACACATGCATGCAACATGCACATGCACAAACAAACCAAAACCCCCCAAAAATCTCAGGGGTCTTGCAGGGCACTGGTCGTTCAAGCCTACAATTCTAATTACTCAGGAGGCTGAGAATAGAAGGATTATGGTTTGAGGCCAGCCTAGGCAGAAAAGTTCTCAAGACTCAATCTGAAAAATAACCAGCAAAGAAAAAAAAAAAAAAAGCAGAGCTGGAGGTATAGCTCAAGTAGAATACTAGTTTAGCAAGCACAAAGCCCTTGAGTTAAAACCCCAGTACTAGGGGCTGGAAAGGTGGCTCAGTGGTAGAGTGCTTGCCTTGCATGCATGAGGCCTTGGGTTCAATTCCTCAGCGACCACATAAGCAGAAAAAGCCAGAAGTGGTTCTGTGGTTCAAATGGTAGAGTGATAGCCTAGAGCTCAAGAGCTGAGGGACAGTGCCCAGGCCCAGAGTTCAGGCCCCACGACTGACACACACACACACAAATAGTACCACCAAAATAAATACATATATACATATAAAAGAGCTGGCTGTCGGTAACTCACACTATAATCTTAATTATTCAGAAGGTGGAGATATAAGGATCAAGGTTCAAATACAACCTGGACAGGAAAGTCCTTGAGCCTATCTCCCATTAACCACCAAAAAAGCTGGATGTGGAGGTGTGTCTCAAGTAGTAACTTGAATGAATGCCAGCCTTGAGTGTAAAAAAGCTAAATTAGGACAGAACCCAAGCCCTGAGTTCAAGCCCCAGTACCAGCAAAAAAAAAAAAAACAAACTGCCAGGCACCCGTGGCTCATCTATAATGCTAGCTTATCAGGAGGCTGAGATCTGAGGATCATGCAGTTTGAAGCCAGCCAGGGCAGAAAAGTCTGTGAAACTCTTATCTCCAATAAACTACTCAGAAAAGCTAGAAGTGAGGGGCTAGTGGTAGCATGCTTGCCCAGCATGCATGAAACTCTGGATTCGATTCCCCAGCACCACATAAACAGAAAATGCTAGAAGTGGTTCTGTGGCTCAAGTGGTAGAGTGCTAGCCTTGAGCAAAAGAAGCTCAGGGACAGTGTTCAGGCCCTCAGTTTGAGACCCAGAACTAGCAAAAAAAAAAAAAAAAAAGCCTTCCTCCAAGGAAATACTCTACAGCTTTTTCTTAACCAACATGAAAAAAAATGTCCACAGCTTTTAAAAAGTGAAAATTAAAAAAAAAAAAGTATGATTCTATTTGTGATTTTTGTTACTGTTCTTGTTAAGATATCTATCTGTTCTAAAATCTGGAAGAACTCAAAAGATATGACAAACACTGACATATGGGATCAGAGAGATGGGTGGGAGAGAAGGGACAGTTTTTCTCCTTTTACCAAATCCTGCTATATTATTTAATAGTGTACTAGGAACATGTTTTACTGAACCTGGAGGTTACACTAAAATCAGACTAACCTACTTTCCAATCTAAACTTCCTAACATTGATGGCCTTCAGCAACTTACTTCCCAGAGACTCTGTTTTTTTCATTGCGTAAAATGGGTATAAGAGATGACTCCTAAAATATATTAGGATTAAGACATTATGTACAAAACCTCTGGTACTTAGAGAGTGCTTTAACACAGCAGACTGAGGTCCGGACGGTGCTGCTGTTGAGGGCAGAGTGACCTGTCTCTTCTGCCTCCTAAGAATAGATCACCTGAGTGGATTATCTGTAGCTAACTGCAGGGTGGAGGGGGGGCTGGGTCTTCTACCCTCCTCCCTTCCTCCAGTCCCCACCTTTCCAATTGTAGGCTCCTGGGGCACCAAAGTAGACAGTGTTCTGCGTGAAGCCGCCGCTGGTGCCCAGCTGGCACATGCCGGTCTCCAGGTAGTCTGTGTTGCTGTTGCACATTTCATTGTGGTACGTCTGCCACTCGTCACTAGAGTCCAGCTCCAGGTCGTTACCCCTCACGTAGCACTTGCCCACCATGCGCCGCTGGTCTTCCAGCCCCGACCACAGCACCTTGGTATAGCGGTGGGCACAGACCTAGGAAACCCCCCAAACCCACAGCCTTAGCTCTGAGCACCACTGGCTGGGTAGGACAGGAGTTGAAAGGGGACTCCAGGCCTCTTTTTTTTTTCCTGAGGCAGTAACGTCAGCCTGCATTCCCTTAGAGTATTTGAGCATTCATCCCAAAGGTCAGGGCCAGTGTGAGGGAAGTCAGAAAGTATGGATTTGCGAATGGCTTTGAGATCCCAGTGAAAAGAAAGGGGAAGGGATGAGCAAACCAGGGGCTTAAATTCCTGGCTCTTCGGGAGCTATTTACATAAATTTGGAAACTGCTTCTCTATCCTGCAATAACTTTTTTGTTGGTCATGGGGCTTGAACTCTGGGCCTGGGCACTGTCTCTCAGCTCTTCAGCTCAAGGCTAGGCTCTATCACTTAAAGCCACAGCACCACTTCCGGTTTTCTAGTGGTTTATTGGAGATAAGTCTCACAGACTTCCCGAGCTGGCTTTGAACTGCATTCCTCAGATCTCAGCCTCCTTACTAGCTAGAATTACAGGCTTGAGCCACTAGCACCTGGCTTTGCAATGACTCTTAATAAAGGGATTACTAAATAATAATACCAGCATCAATTACACCAGCAGCAGCTAACATTGAGCAATTACTATATGCGAGGTACAATTCTAAGTACTTTCCAGATATATATATATATATATATATATATAATTTTTTTTTTTGGTGGTGCCCATCCTGGGGCTTGAACTCAGAGTCTGAGTGTTGTCCCTGAGCTTCTTTTGCTCTATTACTTGAGCCACAGCTCTACTTATAATTTTCTCTGAGAAGTTTATAGGAGATAAGAGTCTCATGGACTGTCCTGCCTGGGTTGACTTCAAACCGAAATCCTCATATCTCAGCCTCCTGAATAGCTAGGATTCCAGGCATGAGCCACCAGCACTGGGTTCCATATTAATTCTTTTAAGCCTGATCACAACCCTATGGTTAGGGACAATTCTGTTGTTGTTGTTTATTTAACTTTTTGTAGTAGTGAGGTTTGAATTCAGCACCTTGTGCTTGTTAGACACTCTACCACTTGAGCCATACTCATAGCTTTTCTTTTTTGCCTTTTGTTTTTGCTTTCTTCCAGAGCCAGCTTTGGACTGTGATCCTCCTACCTACAAGTCTCCTGCAGCCAAGATTACAGATGTGAATCACCACATCTGGCTTGTTTGTTGAGATATGGTCTTGGTAACTTTTTCCTCAGTTGGCTTTGACCTGTGATCCATCCAATCTGGTCACAGGTAGCTATGATTACATGTGTAAGCCACTGAGACTGGCTACTTTGTCCATTTTAGATGAGGAAACAAAGGCATGGAGAGCTTTAGTAGCTAGCTCTCAAGAATCCAGCCAAGATCCCATATCTAGCCAGAGATAGAGAACACTCTAAACAAGACTGGCTGGTTTCAAGTCTGACCTCTTGTCCTCATAAATGCAAGAAACTACACATGGGATTGAGCACATTGCAGGTACTCAATATGTATTTACCAGACAAATCATTGCTTTAGGACTTGGCTGTGGCTCAGTGGTAAAGCACTTGTCTAGCATATACAAGGCCCTGGGTTCAATGTCCAGGACCACAAGGAAAGGAGGAGGGTAAAGTAGATTGAAGTAGGCAAAGTCTAGAAACAGGCTTTTGCCTATGTACTTTTCCTGTCTGCTTCCATATGTGAGTCTGCCTAAGGCACAATTGTTTCTAGTGCTAGTACTGTGCTTGGTACACAGCAGGTGCTCACTAAACGTGTGTTGCATAAAGGAATTGGGTGTTTAGGTAGTTAACTGCTAAGGACCCAGGGTCCAGATATACAACAGGGCACACAAAGGTATTTCAGTGAACTTATTATACCAATCTGGAGCTTAGAACAGTGTTTAGGCTGGGCACCAGTGGCTCACTCCTGTAATCCTAGCTACTGAAGAGGCTGAGACCTAGAGGATTGAGGTTTGAAGCTAATTTTGTGAAGAAAATTCAAGACTCCATCTCCAACTAACTAGCAAAAAGATCAAGCTGGAGATAAGGCTCAAGTGGTAGAGCGCTGTCCAAGCAAAAGAAGATGTCCTAAATTGAAGTTCCAGTCCACCAAAAGAAAGAAAGAAAGAAAGAAAAAAAGTCTGGGCACGGGTAGCTCACACCTGTAGTCCTAGCTATTCAGAAGGCTGAGATCTGAGGATTGCAGTTTGAACCCAGCCCCGGCAGGAAAGTGTGTGAGACTCTTATCTCCAATGAATCACTAGAAAACCAGAAGTGGAGCTGTGGCTCAAAGCAACAGAGCACTAGCCTTGAGCAAAAGAGTTTAAATACAGTGTCCAGACCCTGAGTTCAAGCCACATGACTGCCCTCCCCCCAAAAAAAAGACTGTCTTCAGGAGGTGACAAATAACAGGAGGGAGTAGCCCCCAAACCAAAGCCAGGCAAGCCAGGGTCGGCAGGGCTGTGCCTCTTCCGGCAGCCAGCCTCCCAGGAAGGCGTGCCAGCCAGCACCCAGCCGCCCGGGGCCTTTTCTGCCCTTTCCTCCTCCAAGTTCCCTCTGCCCTTTCCCACGAGTGGTTGGGTATCCCATGAGGGAACCGGGAGGAAGCGAGTTGATTCACACAGGACCCAGGCCATGCCCAGCCTTGACAGAGTACAGACACCACCCCTCCCAGGCATGCAGGGAGAAGGGGTCGATACAGGCCTGTGGAGACACAGCCGCAGAGCAGAAAGACCACAGCACAGACACGTACACATAGGATCCTTGCTGGTCTCTGTTGAACCACCCCCCCCCACGCCCCTCACTCCATGCTACCCCTGGAAGATCAAGAGAGCTGGGGGTGGGGAGTTGCTGGGTGAGCGTTCACGTACCAGGACTCGACCTGCAGGACCTTGGCTGGCCACAGTCACCCCTAGCCACATGTCCTCAATAATGTGACGGTCAGGATCACCTGTGAGCATGGAGGGATTCATGAGTCAGGGCATCAGCACATATTCCAGTGCCCCAAGCCTCTAGAGGGCAGGAGTGGGCCCTCTAGGACCCTCTGTCCCAGTGTAGGGAGCCCTCTTGTAATCTCTGCCAACCCCACAGGCCTCTCTACTCTCCTCCAGGATTCCCTCTTCCCAGCTGCAATTAGAGCCTTACGTCTCTTCCAGGTCATTCTCTCAGTGCCCCATTTGGCCAGGCCTCTAACCCACACTGCTCCCCAGCCCCTTCCCCTCACTTTTCTCTGTGATGTCCATCCGTTCACAGTCATCCTTGAGGGCAGTGAGGGGGCACAGGTACACAGCACCGGTCCGGTTAGTATAGCCATCGGGCACAGCAAGATCCTGGGGGGCACCAGCCAGAAGTCTGGGGAAAGAGAGGAAGGTAGATGGGCCAGACTCTCCACAGCTCACTTGGATTAACTTGCTATTCAACCCACATTTACTGAGCTTTATTTCTGTGTCCAGGCTCTGGGGTTGAAATATAAATGGATGGCCCCCTAGCATCTGCCCTCCAGGAGAGGCCAGTATAGGGGAAGGCAGGCCAAGAAATGGACAGGCCCAATACTAGTCTCATGAGAAGAGACAAAAGCATGGAGCTAACCAGTCCTGATTCAGGAGAGGCCTGCAGAAGAGGTGCCTAGGCCTGTATCTGAGGATGATAACAAACAGGGTGGAGAACTTTAGGCAAAGGTACAGCATGTGCAGGGATCAAGAAGCAGCATGATTCAGGGAGCAGGTCTTCATACAGCTGACGCCCAAGAACATGGGGGTGGGTTGCAGGAGGCTTTGAAGGAGTCACAGCGGATCTGAGGCTACAGATTGTGTCTGGATTTTCAAATGCTTTTGGCCTCTAGATGAAGGCAGACTGGAAGAGGGCAAGATGGAAGGAATCCTGGTACTGGGTTCAAATTCTGATCACAGGAATAGGTTGTCTAGAGTGGAGTCTTTCCTCTTACTGACTTAGATCTAGGAGGCTGGGGCCCCTAAGTAAGCTGGGTAATGTCCACACCCCCCACACCCTCTCTCCCACTGGACACCTGATACTTTGGACAACACATGGCTCAAAAGTAAAGTTCCCAAAGCCAGGCACTAGTGGTTCACGCCTCTAATCCTAGCTACTCAGGAGGCTGAAATCTGAGGATCACAGTTCAAAGCCAGCCCAGGCAGGAAAGTCCATAAGACTTTTATCTCCAATAAACCACCAGAAAACCAGAAGTGGCGCTGTGGCTCAAATGAGCTGAGAGACAATGCCCAAGGCCCAGAGTTCAAGCCCCACTACCAAAAAACGAAAAAGTAAAAGTTCCCAGTGAGTGAGGATGAGCAGGGACTAGAATCCATGTTTGGGGACAAGGACACTAAGTTCCTACAATGGTGTTTAGGGCCTGGCCACCTATAAAGTACTGATGATACCAGAAAAACTGGAGCAGGAAGGGTGGAGGTAAGAGTATCAGTCTGGAATACCTCCAGGGACAGTCCCTGAACCATCCCATCAGAAACCCCTGGAATATCTGTGAAAGAGGATAATTTCTCAACTCCACCCCAGGCCAAATAGAGCTAATAGGATGCACCCCAGTTCAAGAACCCCAGTTCTCCCATGCTACCTTCTTTCCAAATCACCTTCCTGCCAGAACCCCTTCCTCAGTCCTGAGGGCTCAGCCTCCTGGATGGGCAGGTACCTCCGGGATGTCCTTTCATTCAGCCCTAGCAATGCCATGGCTCTGAGACTCCCGGCTCAGAACCTGGCCTTGGGCTTCCTGCCAGTATGGAAACAGAGCAACGCCACAATGCCACGCCTGCAGCCCTGCCTGGGACCTGTGAGTAAGGGTGGCAGGGAGTGGGGTAGGGCAGGGCCTGGGCATGCTGGGACTGGGGTACCTCCGCCCACTGGGAGTCAGGAATGCACTGCCTGGGGGTTCTGGGAAGGGGTGGGACCGGCAGACACCTCACCATTTAGACCTCCCCTGGGGAAATAGATGTTCCTGGGAGGAGAAAAATACTGTGAGCACCACAGGAGGTAGCCAGGCCCTGTTAGTCACCTCCTGCCAGGCTGGAGGGTCCTCCAAGGCTGACCACCAGTGGACAACTGCCACCTAGCATGCCTGACAGAGGGGAGAAGGAAGCCAGGGCCCTGACAAAGTAGCATCTCCTACGGGGCGCAGTAGACTATTTCTAGGGTTGCTTCTGCCTCCAACGCAATTTCCTTTCCTTTTCTGAGCCTTGAATGTCCCTTCTGTAAAATGGGAACAGAGGCTGCCCTGCCAGCCATCCAGGCTGTTATTGGAATAAATGGATTCATTCAGTAAAAGGGCTTTCTAACTACAGTCAGGGCCCAGAGGGACGCGGCTGCTCAGGTTTCTTGTGGCTAGTGCTGGCCCTGGCCTGAGCAAGACTCCCTCCAAGGACCCAGAAATTTCTGCCCCAACAGGTTAGACAGAGAGCAGATGGAAGAGGATAGATTACTGCCGTGGTTAGGGAGCAGGGGAAGAATATAAGTAGGACTTCCATAGCCTGAGGAGATCCGGCAATCACCATGGGGGGAGGGGGAGGGGAATACTGGTGGCTATTCATATTAAGGTGGGAATGCTGAATTAGCTGGAGGTGGAGGCTGGGGTGGTAGAAGGTCCCACCTTGAAGAGATGTAGATTTCAGGGGGTGAAGGAGACCCTGGAGTTGCCCTCCAGTATCCTGCCCACACTGTCAGATAAGAGGTACCTGAAGAGTGGGCGGTGGTCTCCATGCCTTCCAGCTCTGGGCCTCAGCTAGGAGCAACTGCAAGACCCTCTCCTCCTAGCTTCCTGAGGTACTGAGCAGAGCCAAGCACTAATGGCAATCAAAACTGAAACAAATCCTCAAAGCACCTATAATGCTCCCGCCCTTGCCCAGAGCCTTGTGCCCATGGATGGAGATGGGGCAGGGCTAGTGCCCTAATCCCAACTCCACATCCAGGCCTTCCATCTTCAGAGATTCCACAGGGAGCACCCCCACGTACACACATACCCCCTAGAGTATTTTTAGCTCCTACTTGGCCCACTTAGAGGCCCTGTAAGGCCCTCTGGCTCCTAGCCCAGGATCCAATGAGTCTACAGTCAGAAGCTTGCGCGGATTCGGGGAAGGAGGGTGAGCAGAGGGTCAGGCCCAGCTTCCAGCAGTCACAGCCAGGTGTGTGTTATTCACAAACCAAAGATTAGGGAATCCAAGTGGTGGGAGGGGACCCTACTATTATGTAAATTAATGTAACCAATATGCAAATGAGCATCTCCCCTAGCTAACCTGCGGCTGGGTCTTTAGTTCTTTTTCCAAAAGCTGACAATTGGAGAAATGGGAAAAGAGAGGAGGGATGCCTAGATGGGGCAGGAGAAGGGACCTCTCCTCTCCTGTAGCTAGGCACAGAGCCCACCTGGAGGTGGAGGGGATGGGCAAAATGACTGATGACAGGCTCTAAAACTGCCAGCTCCTCACCCTTGCATTTGACCAGCCAGAAGGGCTCTCCTGGTCTCTGGGAAAAGCTCTTCCTTGCCCTGCCTCAGGGCTCCTCCTGGACAGTTCAACACTAATGGAATAGCAGAGTAGAAAGCAGCAGCAAAATGATAGGAAAAGGCTGGGGAATGGGGCCCTGGAGAGAGTTCAGGGCACCAGGCTGGCTGACCCCCAAAAAGCAAAAAGCCCCAGGGGATGGTGGGGTGGGGTGATGCTCAAAGAAGAATTCTGTTTCCCACTTTCATCTCAGCGAGGTATGGAGTGGTTCCCCTGGGGAGATAGATGCCAGAGGGGGCCAGAGGATTCCCCTCACAGGCCTTACTCCTGCTCCCCTTCCATGCCAGGCCAGGAAGAGGAGGAGATCTGCTCCAACCCGGGGGTGGGGGTGGGAGTTCAGTTCTTGGATGCCTGGATACCAGCTCTGTGCCAGCCCTGCTGCCTGAATTAGCCACCTCCCCAGAGGCAGCTCCTATGGCAGCCAAAACTGTAGCCCTCATCATCCTCCCTACTCCTTCTTGGGCTGCCCACCCAGCCCCCTCTTCCCCTGGGGACTCAGCCTTAGAACCAGAGCAACAAGAGAAGGACAGGGGGAAAAGGCTTTGGTAGAAGCTCTGATATGAAGAATAAGGTTGTTTTCCTCATTTCTTCTCCCTTTAATATTAGCTGTTTAGTATTCTTTCCATATTTGACCTCCAAGGGCATTGTGTCATCGAACCTCAGTGCTCCATATTGCAATGGATACCCACGTCTTCCTTGAGCTCTGACCAAGCCCCTTTTGCTACTGCTTTTTCTGCAAAGTAAGCCTTCTCTACCTCCTACCATTTTAGCTCCTTGGCCTAGACTGGTCATGGCAAGCCTCAAGAAAAGGATTCACTGCAATGTAGGCCTTCCACCTGCAGCCCCAGCTGCTGGCACAAGCCATGAAGGCTGCCAGGCACCCACCCTGTCCAGGGAGCACCTTTCCGAAGGGCTCTCCTACCTCAGGCATGACCTCATTTCCATGAGCCACAGCTACTTCTGTGCCAGGCTTCCCAGACATCCTCAATTGCAGGCAAGGATGAAAGGGAGAAGGAAGCCCTCCTAGTCTACAAGGTCAGACCAGGAAGAAAGGACTGAGCAGGTGCAGGGGGTGTGGTCAGTAACCTCTCCCATGGCAATAGTCTGCCTCTCTCCAAGAGGCCCTTCTGCCCCAAAGCATGCAGTCCTCCCTGCTTCTCACTTGCTTCCAGAGACTGAGAGTTTGAGGCCTGGGTTGTGAGTAGGGAACCCTAATCCAGAGATGATAGTAATAGCACAGCAGAGAGTATCCACCTTGCATTTTTAACCATTTCTAAGGCAGAGTCTTCTTTGAAAACACCAAAGCTATGTTCTCCCTCCCTCTGCCCCCCCCCCGCCAAACACACAAATAAACAATTTTATGGTTACTTTTAGGGGTCCCTGCATATCCTGAAAATATCCTGCAAACTCCAGATCAGGTACCTACTCAGGGATTTGGAAGATCACAGAATACCAGGCTGCAGCTTGACTTACTAGTTCCCTAGAACTGTGTACACAGACAGCTGCTCACATCTGGCTACTCCGCCGGTTGCAGCAAAGCCCAGCTGGTGCAGCTGGCTCTCCCAGGGGGCCAGGGGGCCAGACTCAGTGAAATGAGAAGATAAGCAAGATACAGAAGCACTCCTGGGCAAGACTGAAGATAGCCAATGAGGGGATACCACAGAAATTCTGTCTAGAACCACCTGCTCTCAGAAGATCCCTTGTTTTAGCACCTCTCTCCTTTTTGTTTGGCCATCTTGATAGGGTCCTTGGGAGGAGGTATATCACATCCTGGCCTCAGCCTGAGAACCTTCCAATGCTCCTTGGAGAAGTAGGCACACACAGAGCCCTTTCCATACACTATCTCATTAAAGCCCTACCAACATCCAGTCAAGACCTGTTGTACCCCGGTGAGGGGGTGCACACCTGCAATCCTAGCACTCTAGAGGCAGAGGGAGGAGGTGTTTGGGGCCAGTCTAGGTTCATAACAAGATCCTGTCTCAAAGAAAAAGAACAGAAACAACAACAAAAAGGACTGTTGTTTCCCTTGCCTGGACATGGAAGGGTACCTAAGCTCAGGTATCAAGGGCATTTCCAAGATCGGACACTGGCAATGGGAATGGCTAAGCCCCTTCCCCCTCCATAATGCCAAGTTGCTTCTCATTCTCATAGGCCCCCAAAGATAGGAATGAATGTATAAGTCCAGGTTCTACCCTTTGCAGGGGGGGAGGAGGTGATGTGGGGGGGGGAGACCTGGAAAGAAGCTAGCAGAGTGGGGAAGGGATTGCAGATTTTTTTTAAAAAACTCTTTCTAGTCTGATCTCCTTTTTAGTGAGTTACTTTATGTCCAGAAGATTCCCCATTGAAACATTTGAAAACTGTGTACTGAGCTAGGATAGAAAAGACACTGCTCTAGAAACTCCCACCCATGATTGTGTATCAGGTCCTCTGTAAAAATAAAGGTTGGCCAAAGCCAGCCCACAGCTGTTGGGCCAAGGTGAGAAGGGTGTGGTGACCGTCCCTTCTGCAGAAAAGTCAGATGGAGTGGAGACTAAGTCCAGGCAGGTAAACTGGACAGGGGCTGGGCTAGCAAAGCAGGGCCCAAGGCTGAAGTAGTTTGGACTTTAAACATTCCAGACTTCCTCAGGTTTCTGCAGGCCCCAGTCAGAGCAGGAGAAGTTTACAACACACCCTTAACCTGACCATGGTCTTCAAGTTCAGTGAAGTCAGAGGCCAGGGAGGGGCAGATGACTGGCATGGCACCCAGTGAAAGAGGCAGAAGGTGCTAGTCCTAACTACTGTTCTCCTGGGAGAGCTCACCTCTTCCATCCCCCCTCCCCCAGCTGCCAACCTCAGCATACTGAACACATACAGAGAAACCTCTGGTGGACATGGTCGTCTGGGGTATGGGAAGGGGCAGGCAGTTGGGTGCCATCTTTCCCCTCCTCCCCTCCGCCTAGCTCTTCCTGCACCTTCTAGCAGTTCTTATGAAGGAGAGCAGAAGCAAGAGAAAACAACAACAACAACAATAACAAAACCAACAACACTATTTCCCTCTTCAAACCAAAACAAACACACTCAGAGTCAACATGAATCTGTGGAATGCAGCAAAGATGTCTGGTGGAAGAGAGAGAGCCACTGCTTAGGGCTTGGGGGTGGGCGATGGAGACCAAGCCGGAGGGCTGCACTTCCTCTGTCCCCTACTGTCCTTTCCTCTAAGGGTTAGAGGGAGGGGGAGAAAGAGAGAGACAGAGACAGAGAGGAGAGAGAGGAAAAGAGAGAGAGAGAGATAACACCTTTGGAGAACTCCAAAATGCCCAGACTCCCGCAATCACCCACTCCACCACGCCAAGCACTTAAGAAGCCGTCCAGTCTCATTCTGCAGAGGGTGTGGCTGAAGTGGCCACAGACTAAATATGAGGTGTAATGGACTTAAATGCATACACTCGCAGCGTCTGCCCGGGTAGAGGGTCTGAGAGATGTTGTTTATCTGGCAGTTCGTTCCAGCTAGCGGCCCCCGGTGAGAGAAGCGCCTAATGCTGGATCCTGGGCTCACCGGGTGCACAGGCAACTGAGACCTCCCCTCCCTACCCCACCCCACTTCCGCTGGCAGGAGAGATCTCAAAGAGCCCAGCCGCAGGCGTCTGACAGGTCCTGGTCGGGTCAGTACTTGCCGATGCCAAGCCCCGGCAGTCAATCGGAGGGGGCTGCCTGGGTACCCGCCCTCCGGTTAGTCCTGGCCCTCACCAGGGCCCGCCGCAGCAGGCCTGGAAGCCGGCGGGGCCCAGGACTCCGGCGCCCCAGCACACACCCTCTCTCCCACTTCACCCCTCCCCAGCCAGCCTGACTTACAGGTAGCGCTGCTGCCGCTCCGTCTGCCGATGGAGGGCGACCGAGTAACCGAAGAGGCTCTTCGGATTCCCGGCCTTCACCACCAGGAATCGGGTGTCCAGGTTGAAGGCGCAGGCTACCCGGCCGCCGGCAGCCACCATCAAAGCCAGCGCGCAGAGCATGGGGCGCGGGGCGCGGGGCGCGCGGCGGGGGCCGGGGCCCATGGCTGAGAGCCGGAGCTCGCCCGCGCCCGGGCCACGCCGGGGAGGGCGCCGAGCCCCGAGGGGTGATGACCGGTTCACCTGCTCCGGGCTGCGCCTGAGGACACTCAAGCTCCTGCAGGGCTGATCAGTTTCTCCTCTCTCCCCACCCCCTAGTCCAGGTCGGGTCCACCTCTACTCTGGGTCTGCGGCCTCCGATCCCCTAGACAAGGTCCGGGAGTGGATTTTCTCGCCTGTCCCGCAGCCGGATCACCGTACCCCGCCTCGTGTTCCCCCCTGCTGGTCCTGGCCGCGCCCCCTCGGTTGCGCTACCCGCCAGGGATCCCGACTAAGCGGCGGATCTGAGCAGGCAGACCGGTAGACCGCAAGGAGGAGGGGAAGGAGAGGTTCCCCTCCCCACCCCACCCCCGCCGCCCGGGCGCGCGCCCCGCCTCCCCACGCCCAACCCCGCACCTCCCCACCTTGCGCGCCCAGCCCGAACTCCGCTTTCCTTCCGGGGAAAGAGAAAAGGTCCCGGGCTGGGCCGCCGCCTCTTAAAGGGGCAGCATCGCCCCTCCCTCCTCATCCTTCCTACCACGGCTCCGCCCTCACCCCCAGACACCTGTCGAGATACCCTAAAGGCTTGAATTTCTTCTCCCCGCCTCCTCCTGCTTCTCTCGGGGAGCTTGTCCTCCCCAGCAAGATGGATAGCATGGGTGAGGTTGGGGGTGGGATCTGTTCAGCCGAGTTTTGTTTTTTTGGTTTTTGTTTTTTTTTCTTTTTTTCCTGCGGCTGCTACTACCACCGGAAAGCCGGTTCCTGGTGCGGTCACCATCCATCCCGGCTGGACACACCCGGTGTGGGAGCTTAGGAGAAGCGGTGTCCGCGAGTGCGCGCGCGCGCGCGCCGGACCTCCGCAGCGCTGGGAGTCCCTCAGAGGTGGCTGGAAATCTCTGGGCGGTTTTTCCTCTCACTCAGCCCCTTCCCAGTCTTTGTGAAGATTTAATTCTCCTGCTCACCACCCACACCCATCCAGATCTGAGCTGGGACTGACTCCTCAACAAACCCAGACCGATAGTTAGAGGTGTGTAATAACCACACGTCACTAACTGTAATTAGCAAAGGACAACATTTCTCCTAAGGGATACGACTTGTGGCGCTGAGCTGGGCTCGGACTGCGCCCTTTTCTCATCCACTTCTGCCTGTCCGCAGCAGAATCCCAGGGGGGTCTTCTCTCGCTCCCAGGCCCTGCTGAGTTTTTGGAGACTGGGTCCAGACGCCTGTCCTTGAAAGGTGCATAAATGCACGGAGCAAGGTGGAGAAGTGTGGGCGCGCAGACGACTCAAACTGAAAGAAAACTTCAAACGGGCACTGCCTAATTGGAGTCTAACTCAGATTTCCCTTATTGCAGCACAAGAACCTCTTTGCCCCTGGACATATTATCTACAGGTTCTCTTAAGAAGAAAACCATCATTTATTAAACACATACTAAGTGCTTTACAAATATTAAATCCTAACATCAATTGTTGAGTAGTCATCTCTTTTAGGATGGGGAAATTGAGGCTCAGGGAAGTTAAGCCACTTGGCTAAAGCCACAAAGTGAGGATTTTAATCCTGTGTTATCTAACCCTGGAGTCCTTAATCATAGAGGCTAAAATTTTTTTTCTTTTTGTGCCAATCCTGGGGCATCAGCTGAGTGTAGTGTCTGAGCTTTTCTGCTCAAGGTTAATGACTGGAGCCACACCTCTACTTTCCAGCTTTTTTAGTACTTAATTGGAGATGAGAATCACAGGGGCTTTCCTGTCCAGGCTGGCTTGGAACCTTGATCCTCAGATCTCAGCCTCCTGAGTAGCTAGGATTATAGGTATGAGCCATCAGCACCCAGCTTGCTAATAATTATCTTTTTTTGGGGGGGGTCCGGTCGTGGGGCCTGAACTCTGGGCCTGGGTGCTGTCCCTCACCTCTTCAGCTCAAGGCTAGTGCTCTACCACTGGAGGCTTAGCGCCACTTCCGGCTTTTTTCTTTTTGCTTATGTGGTACTGAGGAATCAAACGCAGGGCCTCAGGCATGCAAGGCAAGCGCTCTACCACTGAGCCACCTTCCCAGCCCTAATAATTATCTTTTGAACAACACTTCAGGCAAATCCTGATGCTTGGTGAGACCTGAAGTTTGTACAATTTGGCATTCTCTTTAAGGAATGAAATAAAGAATTATTGGGGCCGGGCACCAGTGGCTCACACCTAAAATCCCTAGCTTCTCAGAAGGCTGAAATCTGAGGATCGCAGTTCAAAGCCAGCCTGGGCAGGAAAGTCCATGAGATGCTTATCTCCAATAAACCACTAGAAAACTGGAAGTGGTGCTGTGGCTTAAGCAGTAGAGCACTCACCTTAAGCTGAGGAGCACAGGGACAAAACCCAGGTTCAGAGTTCAAGCCCTACAACCAACAACAACAACAACAAAGAATTATTAGGATGGGGCTGTTCCTTTGGGAATTGCCCTTAGTACTGGCTTTGCTTCCTCCTCCCATTTGTGGGGCTTTTATTTTGGTTTGTCATGGGGCTCAAACTCTGGGCTTGGACGCTGTCCCTCAGCTCAGTGAGCACTCTACCACTTAAGGTAGCCATGAGCCACCTGCACCAGGCAGGCATAATTCTAAAAAGAAATCTCACCTAAAGGAACTAAGTGCTAAATATTTCTTCAGAACCTAGAGTGTCTGGTACCCTCCTTACTCTGTAAGTAGGGCATATCAACTAGCCTGAAGCATGTAAATTGCTGTATGGTTTAACTTGTAGGAACTTGATAGATCTGTTTAAAGAAAATTCAGGACTTAGTCCCAGGAGTTCAAGGTGAATTGTGATGTTTCCATCAGAGGAAAAAGCAAGAGACATATGCCCCAAATAAGACCCTACTCAGCATATATTCTTCCTGTCCTCTCGTACCTCTTTTCCCTCCTTATAAAAGTCCTCCCTATAAAAGTCCTCTATAGCCCAGAGAAGGGGGAAGGCAGCTCATATAATCCTAGCGCTGAGATCTGAGGCTCTCCATTCAAAGCTATCTCCTATAGAAAAGTCTGTGAGACTCTTATTTCCAATTAACCACCAATAAGCTGGAAGTGGAGGTGTGGCTCAAGTGGTAGAGCATCAGCCTTGAGTGCAAAAGCTAAGGGAGAACAGGCACACACACAAACAGTCCTTTCTGCCCCCTCCTCCCCACCAACCTCCAAATTGAAACATTCCTGATTCCTTCCTACTGTCTTGGTCTCCTGAATATTGACTTTTTTTCCCCCTATGGAGCTCAGATTGGCCTCTGAATATTGGCTTTTGAACAGCAAGTAGCATAGACCATAATCCAGTAACATTAAGAGCATAAGATTAGATAGAATCAGAGCCTAGGAAGGCAATCCAGCCTGACTTGACAATTTACAAATTGTGGCATGTGCAGACTGATTTCATCCTTCAGGCTTCCAGTGAGGTCAAGATTATCATCTTCATTTGCCTGATGAAGGATCTAAGTAAGCCTCAGGAGGTTGCCTGGATGTCCAAGGCTGTGCAGTATGATTTATAGGAGGGAGGCTGAAATAGGACTGGACCACTGACCACAGCTGTGTCTTTAAGAGACAAACTCTAGGCAGATGTTGTTCAGACAGGCAGACACACCTAAACAAAAGCAGCTGTGATAACAGTTCTCTCTGTAGCGTTTGGGGAGAGGACACTTGTCCCTGGCTGCCCTTAGAACAGCACTTGTTTCTGAGCTGTGGCTCCCAAAGTTATTCAGCCGCTCAAGGTCTGCCTTGGGGTCCAGAGCCACCAATGTCTGTGATCAGGAGACATCTGGGGTCAAGGAACAGGAAGCTGGGCAAAAGTTGAACAATCCTTTGCCCTCTTGGTAGATCCAGGGTCCTCCATGTTGTTCCTGGAGAAGAGAAGACAGCCAGATCCAGGAGGGCAGGGGTTCAGAGTGGACCCTTGGTGAGGAGACAGGTTCCTACCCAAAATAGCTTTGAGTGTTGTGATGACACATGGGCGCCATGCCAGGCCTTATCTCTTTGGCCATCCCAAACAGGAATTACCAGCATGTCCGATTGGGAGACTGGGGAGAGGAAAGGGATGAGGGATGGCTTTTCCAGTCCAGGGGAGTGTCCACAGGGAGCCAGAGCTGAGCCACTGTTAAGTGGGAGGGCCCAGCTAAGGAATGTGGGGGAGAGGGCCTGAGGGTGGAAGATGTGGAGACTGCAGGGTTTGAGCCAAAGAGCTGGAGAAACAGAAATCCCAAGTTCCTGCTCCAGGCTGAAATCCATTGCTAAAAGCCATATGATCATGCACAGCCTCATCTCATCCTGAGGACTTTATCACTGTCATCACTTTGCCGCAGACAATGGACCCACCTAGAAACCCAGGCTAAGAAACAAAGGCATGCCAGTAGTCAGTAACAGTGAAAGGAGAGGCTCAACTTTGGCCGTCCCTCTTCCCCTAATTCCCCAAGCTGATAAGAAAACCTGGTGGTGTGTTCTTTGGCATCTAGGGTTGGGGGGAGATTCATGAGCCCCTTCCTCCCATGATCGCTCACGCACAACCACAAAAAGTTAAACTCAGGCCAACCTCCTTCCAAGTCATTTGGGAGCTGTTGTCTTCAGAGAATACAATGGTATAAATAAATGTTAAGCCTTTTCTTTCCCTGGTGGAGTATGCATGTCATCATCTTAATACCCAAACAAAACTTGTTATGGGGGCCCCTCGGCCTCTGCAGGTGATCACAACGCACAAGCTATGTATTCCCAGGGAGGATTCCAAGAGGAGGAGGAGGAGAAGGAGGAGGAGGAGGTCAGAGACAAGGGGAATAGACAAGACTGGGCTGGGGAGCCTTAGAGAGAAGAAAGACAGGGCCCTGTTTGGGGTGAAGTTTTTCCCAGCTGGATCAGTGACAATGTATTCCATAAAGATGGCTTCAGTTCATGGAGTGCTTGTTTGCCCCAGTGAGAGAAATGTAGTCCCAGGGAGCTGATGGAGGTATTACAAGAGCACTCCAGGGTGCGCAATGGCCAGAGTGGGCCTCTTACACTCAGTGCAGGCTCTGTTGGCTTCTTACCTTAGATAAGTTATCTCTGGCTCCTCGGTTCCCCATCGGTGAAATGAGAAGTTCAGAGAGAAGCCCTCTTTAGGTGCCAATCAAATGAAAAAGCTGCAGAAAACCCTCCTTATGCTTCGATCACCATCTGGTGTGGTTCAAGCTTCCCATATCTGTTGAACTAAGTGGGTCAAATCCTAAGACTCAGGTTTTTAGCTCTGACTTTTATTGAAAATGTAAATTACTGGGAGAGAAGGAAGGAAGAAAGGAGGGAGGCAGGGAGGGAGGAGCAGCTAAGCATGAATGGGTTTATCAGATTTTCTTCTCCACTGACCCAAATGCAGCCTAG